GCCAACCCGGAGTTCACTTTTGAGAAGGTCAATCGCGCGTCCAAGGCCTGCGGTCCCCTCGTGCAGTGGGTGGAGGCGCAGGTTAACTATGCTGAGATCCTGGACCGTGTTGGTCCCCTCAGGGAAGAAGTCATGTTGCTTGAGGAACAGGCTTTACAGACCAAGGCCGAGGCCAAGGCTGTTGAGCAGACAATCTCCACCCTTGAAAACAGTATCGCGCGGTACAAGACCGAGTACGCCGCACTCATCAGCGAGACGCAAGCCATCAAGGCGGAGATGTCGAGGGTGCAGTTCAAGGTTGACAGGAGTGTCAAGCTTCTTGACAGTTTGTCGAGCGAGAGAACTCGTTGGGAGGAGGGCAGCAGGTCTTTCGAGACACAAATCAGCACGCTTGTCGGCGACGTCCTTGTCGCGGCGGCTTTCTTGGCTTACAGCGGTCTGTACGACCAGACCTTCCGCAAGTCGATGATGGAAGACTGGCTCCACCAGCTGCACTTGTCGGGCGTCCAGTTCAAGCAACACAACCCGATGACCGAGTATCTCTCGACTGCGGATGAGAGGCTCAGCTGGCAGGAGAACACGCTGCCTGTGGACGATTTGTGCACAGAGAATGCGATTATCCTCAAGAGATTCAACCGGTACCCGCTCATCATCGATCCTTCGGGTCGCGTTACCGAGTTCCTTAACAGGGAGTCTAAGGATCGCAAGCTTACCGTCACAAGTTTCCTGGACGATTCGTTCACCAAGGTCCTTGAAAGTTCCCTTCGTTTCGGTAATCCCATTCTCATTCAGGATGCTGAACACCTCGATCCTGTGCTCAACCACGTGCTCAACAAGGAATACCAGAAGACCGGTGGCCGTGTCCTTATTCAACTTGGCAAGCAGCAAATCGATTTTTCGCCTGCATTCAAGCTCTATCTCTCTACCAGAGATCCATCCGCTACGTTCGCGCCGGATATTTGCAGTAGGACAACCTTTGTCAACTTCACGGTCACGCAGAGCAGTTTGCAGACGCAGTCACTCAACGAAGTCCTCAAGTCTGAGAGACCTGACGTGGATGAGAGGCGATCCAACCTCATCAAGCTGCAGGGCGAGTTCAAGGTCCATCTCCGCCAACTTGAGAAGAAGCTGCTCCAGGCGCTCAACGAGTCGCGTGGCAACATTCTTGATGACGACCATGTTATCGAGACACTCGAGACCCTCAAGACGGAGGCGGCCGAGATTTCAGCCAAGATGAGCAACACCGAGGGCGTCATGGCCGAAGTGGAGCAGATCACACTGCAGTACAACATCATTGCCAGGTCTTGCAGTGCTGTCTTCGCCGTACTTGAACAGCTGCACTATCTCAACCACTTCTACCGGTTCTCGCTGCAGTACTTCCTCGATATCTTTCATTCTGTGCTCCGCGGAAATCCCCATCTGGCAAACGAAACAAACCACAATGTTAGACGGGATATCATTGTCAAGGATCTCTTTGTGGCCACCTTCAAGCGCACCGCGCTGGGTCTCTTGCAGAAGGACCGCATCACTCTTGCTATGCTTCTTGCCCAAGCTTCGCCCTACAAGATGGACAAGGGTCTGTTGGATATCATTCTTGATGAGCGTATCGAGGGTAAGGATGTCTCGATTGATCAGAACACCCGCGAAGAAGCATTTGCGCGGGCGAAGAAGACTCCTGCTCTCAAGGACAAGATCGACGCAGTTCCAGAAGCGGATTGGGAGAAGTTCTTCACCGAGGAGTTGGCCGAGGACTTTGTTCCCAAGATCTGGAACGACGAAACTGAGCCTAATGACCGCGCGCTTATGTCGCTGCTGCTTGTCAAGCTCTTCCGCCTCGATCGTTTCGTCCCTGCGGCGGAGCGCTTCGTTACTCTTGTCTTCGGCTCAGACCTGTTTGACATTGTCGAGGACCTCAAGCAAACCGTTGATCAAGTGTCGGCCATCCGGCCCATCGCTCTGGTTTCCTCCCCTGGTTTCGATGCCTCTTACAAGGTCGATGGTCTCGTCGAGCGCATGCGCGTCCGCTGCACAAACATCGCCATGGGTTCGGCCGAAGCTGAAGGCAGTGCCGACAAGGCCATCGCCAACGCCGCTCAAACCGGATCATGGGTTCTCATCAAGAACGTCCATCTCGCTCCCGGCTGGCTTCAGGGCGTGGAGAAGAAGATGGAGACGCTCAACCCCAACCCCGAGTTCAGACTGTTCTTGTCGATGGAGTCGAGCCCCAAGATCCCTGTCAACTTGCTGCGTGCCTCAAGAGTGCTCATGTACGAGCAGCCTGCGGGTGTCAGGGCGAACATGAAGGATTCCATGTCGAGCATCTCAACCAGGTCGCTCAAGAGCCCCGTGGAGAGGACAAGGTTGTATCTGCTGCTGTCGTTCTTGCACGCCGTTGTTCAAGAAAGGTTGCGGTATGCGCCTAACCTGGGCTGGAAGGGTTTCTGGGAGTTCAATGATGCTGACGTAAGTTCTTCTTCAACTATATCCCTCTTACTTACCTTCAATGATTGATTGATGGCGCTAACCAAACCAAACACAGTACGAATGCTCCGCGCACGTCATCGATACCTGGATCGACACGGCCGCCCACGGCCGCACCAACATCGCTCCTTCCAACATCCCCTGGGAGATGATCCGTTACCTTATCGTCGAGACCTACGGCGGCAAGATTGACGACGAGAACGACTTCAAGATGCTCAACCAGCTCGTCCACACATTTTTGACACCGTCCGCCTTCGATATCGGCCACAAGCTTGTCGAAGTCAGCCATGATGCGGAGGATGAACAGAAGGATGCGGCGACCGGAGGTGACCTTGTGGTGCCCAGTGGCACATCGCTGCAGGAGTTTATGAGCTGGATCCAGAAGCTGCCGGAGCGCGAGCCGCCTACGTACTTGGGCTTGCCGGCGAACGCGGAGAAGTTGTTGCTGGTGGGATTGGGTAAGAGTTTGATTGGGAACTTGAAGAAAGTGACGGATTTGTTGGATGAGGGCGAGGCGATTATGGCGGAGGCTTCTGAGGCTGCCTAAGCTACTTAAGGGGGTTGGGTGTTGAAGAGACATGGGCTGGTGAGAGGATGGTGATTGATTACTAGAGGATATGGACAAAGGGTTGTGGTGAGATGGGATTCTTACGACGTGTTGGGCGTTAGGGCGCTTCGTCTTGTTATTTATTTGTAGAACTCGTGCTTATATTTAGAAGAGGCGTTTAGATAAAATGCTTTTTTTTTCTCAATGATGTGTAGTCTACATAATAGTGACATGTCATGATGACAGTGAAGTTGTGGTACTTGGTAATTACGTACTAGTACAATGATGGTCACAAAAATACTGCCACCCCTTGCCCCATTGGATATGTGGGGGAGGGTGGCAGTAATTGTTGACAACAAGTTTACGAAGGCTGACCATTAATTATAAGCAAATCAGAGGTCAGTGATCTGAGACACCAAGAAATCGATCAATGTAATGATGGCACATGATTTCCTATAATATCATGTTAATGGGGACGGGCGGACATTCAACTCCTTCCGTCCGTCGATGCTCTTGAGCCTCTCAGCCTTTGAATCTTCATTTCGAGAATCCGCAACCATGATATTGGGCAGGAACAGGACTCGCGTTCGGCAGCACAGGGTTGGGGCTTTCACAACCTAATGGCAGTGATTACGATTGCTTTCAGGGTCCTGCTGGTTGATAGGTGTGTCGTTTGATCACGGTTTAAGTCAACCGGGAAAAAGACTCCATCCACTGAACCTATGACATTGGATGTCTGGACTCGCTCAGTCGGAATGTCAGATATATAAAGATAGCAACTGGAGCAGTGATTGGTCATGTACATGGCCCCAGGTCGATCGAAGATACACACCCAATAAGGCTGAGTGGATGTTCGTGATTGAGCTCAAGATGACACTGGCAGCACAGCATGATGCCGCTTGAGGTGGTCGCCCGGCATAACTCTCGTATCAAAACATCGGGATCTTCTACATATGCGGGCATCGACGGGAAAGTAAACAAAATAAACAAAACAGAGGCGGTGTCCCGTCCATCTCAGTGGTATGCCGTCCGTACTTGGCGTCTTTGCATCCACGGCACTGCCCATCCTTTCATTAAGGCAAAAAAATGCTCAAAATTTGTGTGAACGAATGCCGAAGGATTTCATGAGTCTCGAGTGTTGTAACTTCCTTTTGTGGGATGAACAGGCAGATGGACTGATCGCTATAGGCTGCCTTGGAGGCGACGAACAGGGCAAGTATGATGACGACATTGCCCAGCCGTTTTGCCCAATCAGAAGCATGGAAAGACCTCATCTGCCCTTTCAGCCCCACCTCTCTCCCACTCTGTGCATTCCTCAAGGTTCTCAAGTTCGAGACTCGTACACTAGAAATCCGACCTCTTCTGTTTCCCGTCCGTTATACGGTAGTCCCTCGCTGATAGCATTTCTCCAACTTGACTCTTCTTAGTCATGATAACCATTACACCGGTAAACGGATTCGCGTTGTGCAACTCAAAAGGTCTGCCAGTCGCGAATGCGTGAAACGGTCCGCACATCATCAGCAGATAGATCGATGGCTTGCGCAAGTCTAACAACCTGGAAGCTACCGGCTTCAGCTCCAGGACCTTGTCCGAGTCCAGGGTCATGTGGTGAAACCGCCGGGGAGATGAACCTGATAATGGTTACTTCTGCCTCCTGGGATTACAACCACAGCCGAGCTTTCCATTGAAAGAGCTGCTTGTTTCTGGCCTGGTGTGGGTGGCACGGATCGGATGAACAAACAAAAAGGCCAAGACAGTGACGCACTTACGCGGCTATGTAGAGAAGTAGAGAGGTAGCGAGGTACCTCTTATTTTACGTTCTTCTTGGCTCATCTTGATGGTCGTCCTGGGTATCAATGGAATTCCCCTTCGCAAGAAGTGGCCTCATTCCCACGCGGGGTAGCAGCCAAAAGTCACTTACTTCGTTTGGGTGAAACGTCCTGTATAAAGGAAGAGTATACGAGAGGTAATAGTGAGAGCAAGGAACAAGGAAGGGAAACGTACGAGACCTTCCTTCCTTTTGCCCCCCGTTCGGTATTGCATGGAAGAGTTACACTACTCTTGCTGGATGGGAATTCCTCGTGTAGCTCAACTTCCCGTGGTGCTTGTCCACTTACATCCGTCCATTGCCTCCTCCATTGCTTCCCCGCAAACCGAAACACTCTCCACACACCCTCTTCCCATTTTCCATCCCAATCTGGTCTTGTCTACCTGTTTTTGTTTTTCCTCGGCCCTTACATAACACCCCACATCCGTCCGCAGGACTACTTTGTCACCTCTCTTCTTCCTCGTATTCCCCCCCTCTGTCGGAATCGTTTCCCAATACACAACACCATCAACCACAGGTCTGCCCACTGAGCTCATATAGGTCCATCTTCCCTTTGCTGCTCAACATGGCGAACTTCAGCGATCGTAGGTGGATAACTATACTTTCATCAGTCTTGTCGTACACAGCGCTAACTAGTTTTCCAACAGTCAACCCCTTCGCGAAGCGGGAAACGCATAGTTCGACATCCATTACCACCTACAAGGTCCTGACTTTGCTTTCTTGGGTCCTGTCCGTGATCACGACCGTTTACTACGATTTCGAATCGCCTCACGATGGACACCTCATTCGCCGGACGATTTGGGGTCAGAACTATGCCCATCCTTCGGGCTTCACGCAGAATGCCACCATTACCTCTATTTACTGGTGAGTAATGAATACCATGCACAAATCCACCAGCCGCGGCCGTATATCGATGCTGACACTTGGACAGGCTTGTCTTGTTCATTCTCCAGCTAGTCTACATTGGCCACCTCTTCTCCAACGATTCCGCCCAGGTCAACGCTGCCGCCTCTGTCGGTAGCCACTTCATCTTCAACAACCTGCTTCACTTTGGGTGGGTGATGCTCTTCGTTCGCTCGCACTTCATCTGGTCCGAGATCTTGTTGATCATCAACTTCATCAACCTCACGTCGCTGTACTTCCGCCATAATGCGTACCCCAGGGGCATTCATATGCCCGCTGTTTCTGGTCCCCTCGCCTGGACCTTCGTTGCTCTGTACTGGAACGGTGCCATTATGGTCCCTGCCCAGCATAGCTTTGTTGCTCGTATCTTTGCCAACGTCTTCATCTGGTCGATCTTGGTCTACGGAATGTTCTTCATTGTAATTTACAAGGTAAGCTTTCTACAGCTCATTTGTTACATTACAGACACTGTTTACTAACAGCTCGCAGGACTACACCATGGGCTTCAACCTAAGCGTTCTGAGTGCTTCCTTGGGAGTCGCCCAGTTCTTTGACCGCGTCATTGCATTCCAGTGGATCTTTGCCTTCACCATCATGGCAGTGCTGTTTGTCTTCACTGTGGTCGTTGCCGTACCTGCTTGGACCGGTAAGGAGGTCAGCTGGGGCACACGCCAGACTCAGCCCGATGCCGAGCGTGCTCCTCTTCTCGGCGAAAACTAAGCATCTTGACGAAGAAGTGTTACCTCGCCCGTACATGCACGGACTACATTTCTGGAAGAAGGGTAAAACCTCAAAAGTTGTTCGATGTTGAGAAATACTCATAACAGCTATCAGTCGTTGATCGGAACTGCGGCAATGGTCGTCCGCGGTGTAGGAAATTATTTGCATCGAAAGCATGAAGAACTTTGTCATACAGGTAATCATGTGCCTCACAAGCACCAAAAAAGGGAAGGATTTGGAGGATTAGCAACAGAATGGGCGAAGGTGTCAAAAAAAAAAAGAATGAGAGTTCAAATATCATTGTTCAGGCTTCCTCTACCTTATTGTCCATAATAGGTAACTTACCTTATCGATAATGTATCGTTAAAGCGCTTCATGACGTAGGGTTGTCGCAACGGTCGTGTTTTAGCGTGTTTGTCCGTCCTTGTAGGGCATTTCAGTGAATGCTTCAGTGGTCTAGAACCTAACTCACATCAGATCCCTGCGAGGTTTTGCACGTTACATTGTCCCATCACAATGCCGTCACCTCGGTGTCCTGCTCACCACCACCTATTCCTCTTCTCAGCTTGACAGACTCGCTTAGGAAAGCCGCTACCAATAAGGTAGGTATGTCACCATGGCATCTCGACTCATCCGCTTTCCATGGCCCATGAATGTTGGGACCGATATCTGCCAGGTATCGCGAATCCAAACCATCTTGTCTTGCCCTACTGGCCGCGGTCGACACTTTGTTCGCAGGATCCTGTGTGAAGAAGAATTGAGACGGCCTAGCTCCAAACTCAAATCATACTTGCGTACTGTGCTAAAGTTTGCAAAGGAGCATGACACGCTTAAGCAGCAGGGCAAGGAGATCGAGGGGTTTGGTAATGGTCATAAAAGGCTAGAACAGAAGTGGAAGGGTCATGGTGTGGATTTGGGAGAGGTAGCTGCTTTTATGGCTGGGAGGTAAGTAATCTAGGTTTTCGTTCTCTATCTCAAGAGACAGACTAGGGGTAGCCAACACTTTTTGACCTTTTGGCCTATAGGTTTGCAGCAAAAGAAGCAGCTATCAAAGCCCATCCGCATCGTCACTTGACCTTTCACGACATCATCGTCGCCAAGGCAGCGGAACTGGACCAGATTGAAAGGGAACTAGCCGCCTCGTCCTCCTCCTCTTCTTCTTCTTCTTCTTCTTCTTCTTCTAAAACCTTCACCGGCTCAACAACCGGGCCCACCACCAAAGTAGATCCCAAGAACATCATGCCCGAGGACCGACTCTTTGACCAACAGCTCGACACTAACAACAACAACAACAACAACAACAAGCATCACCACGTCTTTGAAGGTTCCGCCCGTGGCCCAACCACCCCCGTGGATACCCAAGACATCATGCCTGAGGATCGAGTCTTTGACTATAAGCTTGAAACCGACAAACCCAACGGGTCCGACAGAGCTCTTCTTCGTCGTCGAAGCTTCAGTGGTTCCCAAACGGGTCCTACTACGCCAGTCGACACCAAGGACATCATGCCCGAGGACATGGTATTTGATTACCACCTGGAAACAGACAAGAGACCGTTTGAAGGGTCTACGACTGGTCCGGCCACCCCCGTTGATACTAAAGACATCATGCCTGAGGATCGAATGTTTGATTATCACCTTGAGACAGACAAGCCTGATACAACAACAGAGTCAAATGATAGCACGCTGGTGGGGGGGAGGGGGAGGACAACAGCACCGCAGGAAGCATCTCCTGGTAGGGCTAGGTTGGGAAGTGGACCGCCTGTGGCTATCATCAGGGGGGTGGTTAAGGGAGGAGGTGATGCAGACCATCATCAGGTGGCGCTGCTTAGTATTAGCCATGATGGCGATTATGCTACAGCTACTTGTGTGGGGTTTGATGCTGGGAGTATGGTGAAGGGAGGGTTGGGGTGGATGGTTTCGAGGTGAGGTGAGTGACGGTCAGAAGAACTGCTGTGCCGTGGTGGGAAATTTTTCCGATCATTCCACCTCCCCGTCAAAGGAATTGAGAGAGGAATGGAAGATAGGTTGTATTACTATCATGTATCAGGTTGTGGGCATAGAAAAGTTAAAGAGCTTGTTCGTCATTTGACGCTGTCGTGAAAATTCTAGTCTGTAGATAATGGCCTGTATGTGCGGCACCAAGTGGATCGTACACGACGATACTTGTGGATTACGACGGCGTCACATTTACCATCGGTGGCTCGAATAGTGTAGTGGTTATCACGTTTGCCTCACACGCAAAAGGTCCCAGGTTCGAAACCTGGTTCGAGCATCGCTTTTTGTCTTGATGAGGACATTGTCGCTTTTGCTGTTTTCCCTTTTAAGGAGTCTTTTTTTGTTCGTTTGCTTGGGCTTCATATCTATCTATCTGTTGAGTCGTCATGAAATGGAAGAGCCTGAACATGAACAACCAGATACAGATTGCTTACTCTAAGTCAGGTCCTTCACAACGTCCAATATGTGATTATGACGACTCAGCAAGTTCACAAAGTGCCTGAAGTGTTAGTGGGCAGCCGTGATAGTAGAGGATCATTGTGAACCTGGGCTGAGAAAAGATAGAACACGTGCACTAAGTGCAAGACTAGAATAGCTGACAATTTCAATATGCTGTAGAACTGCTGATTGCTTTTCGTTCAGATTATTGGGTATCTTTGGGCGCTTATCCATAAACCTTCTTTCTGGTGTCGCTTCTACAGTAGACCAGCTGTCTCGAGTTTCACCATGTTGAACGAGTTCGTTCTGGCAGCACACATCAGGAAGCACTGCCCTCAATCTCTGCCATCTTTTCATCCATCCTCCTCGCCATTTCCGCCTCCATATCAACCGGCTCTTCAGATCCAACACCAGTGTTCCCACCATCATTATTACCATTCCCAAGACTTATACCCCTCCTCCTTAGTTCACCCTCTATATCCCTTCGAGTAATCATACCGCCTCTTTTGCTACCACCTTCTGTCCCCGCCTTCATCCTCTCCACATCCTCTCTCATCTTCCTCCCCCAGCCATCCACGCTCCTCATGCCCACCACCAAGAACCCCAGCTCTTCCCGATCCACATCGAACACCTCCCACCACTCGCACTCGGGCATCTTGGCGCCCACGTCCTTAGCCGCGTTATAAATAGCCGCCACGGCCAGCGCGTTCGGCTGGCTGGTCAGGTACAGCATCTGCGGCGACAGGAGCGCCGTGTTCAGGTACGCGAGCGTCCGTTTCGATATCGTGGACTTGGAGGTGTTGAGGAAGTCGAGAGCTTGGAGGTATGTGATGGCCAAGGGGTGGGGGAGGGAGACGTGCGTGTCAAACGAGAGCGCGTAAAGGATGCGGGATTCGCAGCGGAGAAGACGTGTGTGGAACGAGTTGTAGACGTGTTCGGGGAGGTAGTAGTCGTTTGGGATGTTGGTTGGTGGTGGTGGTGGTGGTGGTTGTGAGTCGTCGGACGCAGGCGCGGATGATGGGTGGAAGAAGGTCGAGGATGGAGAGAGGAGGTAGCTGTATACGAGAGCGAGGTCGCGCGGGGAGCGAGGGTATGGGGATAGTTTGGCGATTAAGTAAACGGAGGCGGCTGAGATGTCCTGGGAGGAGGGAAGACGTGTTAAGTGGTTTGTTCATGATGAGGCGACTTTGGGGGAAGAAGAGGAGGTGGGAGGAAGGGAAGGGCTTACGCTGAATTCATGGGACATCATGGGTTCCACTAGCCAGTATCGCGCGAGGAGGACGTTCGCTTGGGCTGTGACGGATTGTGGGAGCTGGAGGAGCAGACCGGCTGCTTGGGTGAGGCATTGGGTTGAGAAGAAGATGGCGTCTTGCAGCTCTGTGGGAAGCGCGCTGAAGGAGCGCCGTTGATAGAGCTGTTCTGGCGTCGCCAGGGGATTCACCATATGCGACATGATTGCCTTATCGGCTGGAGATCGTCTTGAATTTGATTGAACGTAGAGGGTTTGTTTTTGTAAAAGATTGAGTAACTGGCGCAAGATGAAGCTGGAGGATATCGCGAGCTGCATTGAACAATGAATTGATGGCTGTCTTGACTCGGCAGGCTGCGCTCACGATGCACTGTCTAGGGTTGGGGTTGTACGAGCATCACTTACACGATCAGACGAGTCTCGTGGAGCCATGTTTACACGTTGGGTTTTCTGCCCTCCAGCAACAATACAGATCGTTGTACATCTAACAAATATGCCCGAAGTACGGTGCTTTCATATACCTAAAGCGCTTTTGAACTACAACGATGTATCATAATAGTTTATTGTAAAGGTAAGCCTAGACTGCTTGACGGATGAAGTGCCTGTTCAAGTACCTCAAAAGTACATGCGCTGTGAGTACGGAGCTGCCACTAACAACACTAACAGACAGAGGACCCCACATCTACACAGGCAGGCAAGCGCTAGCAGGGTACTGGCCGGGTCGAGGATGCCGCGCTAATTCAATCACGGGGTGACGTGAAGTCGAGGTGGGGTTCCCGCATTAATACGCGTGCTTATCAAATGTTTAGGGCACAGAAGGCGCGTTTGTCCCCCCTGCGAGTGATTCGGATTCTCAACTCGATCTGGACTGGAAGCAGCGCACATCCCCGCAATTCCACCCGTCGAAACCGAAACCCGCCCGGCCAATTCCATCCTGTGGGTTCGGTCTGTTGTCTTTCTTCTGGCCCACTGAATCAAGTAACTTTCCTGAGACATCTACGACATTCGACATATGGCTGGATCGCGGTTTTTTCCCATTTAATCTCGAGTATTCCACACAGTCCCGTCCTTTCAAGATTCGTTTAGAATTGTCTACTTCGTTTACCCACCCCACCATACCATCTTCGTAACAACTACTCGCAAGGGCTAGACACTTGCCTGACACTTCCTTCACCTGAACGTCAAATGACGCGTCGCGTGTTACTACGCGACTCCGTTCTTTCGTATCCTCCATCATCACTGTGGTATTCCGTGCAATTGCGACTTTGACGGAGTGAACCCTCTACAAGTCGGCCGTCACAGAAGTCTGCTCTCATTGTCAAGTCAACCACTGGGGCAAACAGACTGACCAGGAAGATTTGAAAGGTATGCCCGTTCCATTCTTGATATATAGTCTCCCCCCCCGACAACCAATAGGATCCTGCGGACGCAATCCTGTCTCATATTCCTGCCGCAAGCTAACTTGGCCTACGTACATGCAGACTTTCGCCACAGGGAAACCATGGCTGCGGTGAAGGGCGAACCCCGCGATGACAGGGGCTTCAATGCACCGCCCGCGCCCACACATGACGACGAGCCTAGGATTGACCTCCAGTGGCTCCAAGAACTCGTTAACGACAGCGAAAAGCGGTCGGTACATGTCCTCGAGAGGGCTGTCCGTGTCGGTGTCAAGGCTCTCGAGGGCCTCAAAGGTCCCCTCGAAGCCGCCAAAAATATCGAGGACACCACAGCCGCCCAGTGGCTCAAGATGATCAATGATGTTCAATCTCGCGCTAAACCGACCCGCACTATTGTTGGAGTCGTAGGCAACACAGGAGCCGGAAAGTCGAGCGTCATCAGTGCCGTCCTTGATGAGGAGCGTCTCCTGGCAACAAACTGCATGAGAGCTTGCACAGCATCTCCCACAGAGATCTCTTACAACGACTCAAAAGACCCCAATGAACTCTACCGTGCCGAAGTTGAGTTCATCACATCGGCCGAGTGGCTAAAAGAGTTGCAAGAGCTCTACAGCGATCTCCTTGACGGAAGTGGTGAGGTTTCGCGCGAGAGTTCCAACGAAGATAGCGAGGCCGGTATCGCCTATGCCAAGATCAAAGCTGTCTATCCCCGCCTCGTCAAGGACACCATGCCGAAGCATAGTCCTGTGGAGCTTGTAAACCAGCCCTCGGTCCGCAATGTGTTAGGCACGACAAGGAAGCTTCAAGCCACCACAGCTGCCGGTCTCTACCGCCAACTGCAGTCCTACGTCGACAGTAAGGAGAAGAACACAGACAAGTCGATTGAGTACTGGCCTCTTATCAAGGTTGTTCGCATATACACCAAGGCCTCTGTCCTATCCACAGGAGTGTGCCTCGTCGATCTTCCCGGTGTCCAGGATTCGAACGCCGCAAGAGCCGCCGTTGCTGCAAACTACATGAAGGCATGTACCGGTCTTTGGATTGTGGCACCCATCACCCGCGCTGTGGATGACAAGACGGCAAAGTCTCTGCTTGGCGATACCTTCAAGCGCCAGCTGAAATATGATGGCGCATATTCAGCTGTGACTTTCATTTGCTCAAAGACCGATGATATCTCGGTCACTGAGGCAGTGGAGAGTCTCAATCTTGAAGAACGTGTCTCTCAACACGAGACACAGATTCGAAGCAAAGAAGACGAGATCAAGAAGCTCAAGAAGAAGCTCGGTGATCTCAAAGATCAGGAAGCGGCGTGTGACGAGATCCGCGACCATCTTGACGAAGAAATGGAAAAGTGGGATGTACTACTTGACAAACTGGACAAGGGAGAGCAGGTCTACGATCCGTCTGAAGCCCAGCAGGCCAAGAAACGAAAGCGTCATGGCGGATCACGGAGAAGCCGCAAACGACGTAACAACGATCCCATTGATAGTGACAGCGGTAGCGGTAGCGATAGCGGCAGCGACGGAGACGGAAATAACTCGGATGCCGAAATGTCCGACTCAAGCGATAAGGAAAACTCTGACCCCAAAGTCGGCGAAGAGAAAAAGCCATTGACGAAAGAGGACATTGAAAATAAGATTTCTTCTTTGAGAGAAGAAAAAAAGAAGACTCGCGCGGGTATTAGGGATCTCAAAGACCAAGCAAAGGAAACCCGGACGGCTATCAAGGAGATTGAGTCCGAAAAGAAGAATTTGGAGTCGGAGGTTAAGGCTATCTGCATCCAAGGAAGAAACGAGTATTCCCGGACGGCCATCAAGAAGGACTTTGCCATGGGAATCAAAGAGTTGGACCAAGAAACTGCAATCGAAGAAGACGAGGAAAATTTCAACCCAGATGTCGACCTACGGGATTATGACAAAGTTGCTGAGACCCTTCCAGTCTTCTGTGTCAGCAGTCGTGCTTTCCAGAAGCTGAGTGGGAGGCTGGTGAGGGACAAGTTTAACAGCGCTGGGTTCCGGTCACTCGAGGAAACTGAGATTCCTCAACTTCAGGCCCATGCGCAAAAACTTACAGAAAATGGTCGGGCTGCTAGCTGCAGACGCTTCCTTGCTGACCTTTCCCAGCTTCTCAACTCGCTGAGTATGTGGGCGACCAATGACGGCACACGATCAAACCTGACCGACAGCGAGAAGCGAGCGGAGGAGAACCACTTGCGCAAGCGGATCGACCAAATGGAGCAGGTAAGTCACTGGCCCATCCCCGGCCGCGGTTCTAGTCAACTGTTAACATCTTGTAGGAACTGGACGACGTGGTAAAGGAGACTATGAACAACCTCAAAGAGGCGCTCGCGGAAAACATCTATGAAATCTTTGAGAAGTATTTGCCTGTCGCAGCAGACAGGGCCTTGCCCACCGCCACGGGTTGGGGCGCACACAGAGATGCAGGTGGGTTGCTCTGGTCAACGTACAGAGCCACCTGTCGCCGGAGCGGTGTGTTTTCTGGTGCTTCGGGTCTTCGAGACTTTAATGCAGAGCTCATTGAACCCATTCATACGCCATTGAGTACTACTTGGGAGCGAACCTTCCAGCGCCGTCTTCCCGGCGTCCTGACGAACTTCGCCAAGTCCACCAAGCTGTTGCTCGAGACCTTCCACAGAGAGGCAACAATTCGAACTCAACAACGGGCAAATAATTACCACGGGATCAACATGTTGTATCAGCAACTCCAAGCCCATTGCCAGAAGATCTCTGAACTACCCGATGCACTGAATGCCATCGTTCAAGAACAACAGCGTGATGCGAATCGTAGCTTCGCGCCTACTATTCAGACCCAGATGGAGAGGACGTATCAGGCCTGTGCTGAGGAAAGAGGTACGTGGCTAACCGGGACGTTTGAAAAAAAAAAAAAAAAATAAAAAAAAAAAATAAAAAAAATTCACTTTTCGGGCAACTTTGCTAATCACTTTCATTTTTTCACAGGCTCGGGATGCTTTAGGCGAATGAAGGACATAATGGAAGCGCATGTTGGAACCCACCGTATGTCGATATTCCAGGCTGCCACCCGCGTTGTACAGGATCAGCTTGGTGTCATGTGCAGGGAGCTCAAGAAACGGCTTCAAGATGAGGCTGACGATCTCCACGACATACTGCGAAGAGATTATCTTTCGGCACTGGTTGGGAGTGAGGTCGCGAATCGTAAGGGGCTACCCCGGGTAGAGCGAGCATTGCGAGCAGAGATGGTGCCGTATTTACAAAAAACCGATCCTTTGTTCGCGCCCGTTGTCAAGGGCGAGCCTGAAGAGCCTGAGAAGGTCGAAGAACCGGAGGAGCCGAAGCAGGAGAGGGCTGTTAGCGAGGGCCTTTTTGTCCCTCCGGACGCCGCGGCTAATGAAGCTGCCGATGATCATGACACGACCATGGTTGATGCATCAATGGTAGATGCCCCTCCGCCATCTTCGGCACCAACTGCAACCTCTACCATCAAGGCTGAGCCCGTCGAGCCGGCCCCTTTGCTGAGCAGTAACCAAGCTTCGGTTCCCTCAATCAAGAATGAACACGCCGCGCCAGTTCAACCAGCTGTTGAACCCTCTCGAGCCCCTAGCGTTGCTGCTCCTGAAGCTGTTGCTCCTACTGAAGCTGCTGCCCGGCCTGAGCCTCTTCAAACTGGCACAGCTGCTTCTGAGGTAGTCCATGCCGTCGGTGTTGCTCATGAGCGCGCTCGGACTGCTACTGCTGGCCCCGACGCTTTTGGAACTGCTATTGCTGTTCCTCAGCCCCTGCGAGCTGCTACTACTGATCCTGATCCGATCTCTAACATCAAGCGGGAGCCACAGGGTGATCACAACCTGCTCGCAAGCTTCTGCAGTGAGCGCAATCCAACCTCGGACGACGAGGAAGAGTTTTCTACCGCGACAGAGGGCGAGGATGACGAGGGAGAGGATGACGAGGACGATGAAGATGAAGACGATGACAATGCTGAATCGTCATCAGATGAAGACAGCTCCCGGGCCCCAAGTGTCGAGATGGACCTTGTGAAGCCAGAGCCAACCGATCATTGAGTGGCTCTGTCATCTCGTGGGTTGCTTGTCAATTGTTTATAATACGGCGTACATGATGGATGTTTTTCGGTCTAGGAGTTATTGGTGATTGGGAAAAAGTCGGAATAGGTCATTAAGGACGTGATGCCACCTTTGGGCGTTAATGGGGTCCTCGGATATAGCAAGAAAAGATGGCGGCCTTTTGGTGGTTCATGTTTGGGTCAAGGTGGTCATTATTCATGTATATGCAGGGTGTCGGACTCACTTCCTGAGCACAATTGTGCCATTTGTGTGTTATGGTCATATTGGAATGCTGTTCGGATTCGTCACTTCCGAGACTTGTTGTTGCTATATACATGAAAGCCAGCTGAAGAAGTAGGTGGACAGACTGGTTCATGAGGGGACATATATGTCTCCCAGCACACCTCGCCTGCACAAAAGTTATGTACAGTATTATGGAGAAGGATAATAGATTCTGGTCAGTGTACCACAGGTAATTGGAAGAAATACTGTTTCTAATGAACATCCATCATCAATAAGTCTACGTAATGTGGTGATGACTTGGTGGTACGGCTTACTTCCTGTGCAAGAAAATAAATGATAAACGACGACGGTACCATGAAGACTGAAGCGAGATGCCGACCCGCTACCTTCCTTGCGACTATAAGTACCAATGAGGAGAACACACTTCGCAGGAAAAGTGGAAAGGGAACTCAAAAAGAGACCGCTTCATGAAATTCCAAAGAGATATTATTTGCAAAAAAGATGATGTTGTCCTATCACCAGGAACATCGGGAATTGAGCCCGACGTGGGGGTCGAACCCACAACCTTGAGATTAAGAGTCTCACGCTCTACCGATTGAGCTAGCCGGGCGGTTGTTAACCGCCATTGGATGATGCTAAGCTGACCGAAATGCTAGGCCTATGTACGCTTGAGCATTTGATATATCTAGCATTATGCATGCGTACCTAGGGGAGAGTGAGGATTGCAACTGAAGTTACGGATAGATCCGCCGCCATTCGAAAGGTAGTAGGAATGAACTTGGTAACCTTTTTCCTCCTCAAATTACATCAGTTTTGCATGTTTTCAGATGGATGGATGGATGGATGGATGGATGTGCTACACTACACTACAAAGCAAAGTTTGAATTGTCAAAAAAAAAAAAAAAAGCAGAAAAGGTCAAGGGACAAACAAGGCCAGATTAATTGATTGACTGACTAATTGATTGATTGCTGAATCAAGTCCCTATTTACCGAGCGAGCGGAAGAAGCGACTTTGACAACAAGAAAAGCAAAATCGTTGAAACATTTTACGACCTAGTCCGAGATTACCATGGGTGTACATAAGGTAAGGTAGATTGACATTCCCCTATTTTTCGGATGGATGGCCTGACTTGCTTTCTTTTCTTTTCTTTGCTTTTCTTTTCTTTTTTGGTCAGGCTGTTGTTACCAGGGAGCCAGGGCAGGCAGGCAAGGCAGACGTTCCTCGTGGTTTCTAGTGTAGTGTAGTGCAGTGTATGATTCCCTCCCGAGGATCCCGGCACGCGGCCGGCGCCGGTCTTCACTCACTCACTCACTCACTCCGAGGTCTTCGGGTGGGAAAAGTTGAGATGGTCAACATTCAACTATAAAACGCATCACTACCATCAGACTACTGCATTGTTGCAACGGTTCCCAAATTCGTATACATTTTGTTTCTTCATTCTCCTTGATATGTAGGCATTCTTTGCATCAACCTCTTTCAACACCCCGGTTTTCATCGCAATGCCGAGATGGTTCACGTGGACAGCATGCGAGAAGAAGCAACGAAGGGCACAACGTGCATGTTCTCCATGACTTGCATTCCAATGGGATCTTTCAATATCCGAGAAACCCCTTTTCCCTTGCATATATTTATGTACAAGGATGTGTAGTATCTACTACACCATGTGCCTCGATATGTGTAGTGTACGCGCGGCAAGTGGATATGACATGTGTCGATTGCGCATGTGTAAAGCACAAACAACAAACTGCGTCATAGACATTTTTTTTTGGAAGTTTTCCACATTGTGCATCTACCTTTCGGAGTTTATCTGACAAAACTGATTTGATAATGCAATCGCTCCTATGTCTTTTCATCCTTTGTCCCTTGTTTTCACGTCAATCTGAGCTCTTTATCAATTTTGCAGCAACACGTTTTGTTGGCCCAACTCAACCCGAGACAATCGACCACTGTCAATAAATGAGGATCTTCAGCAATTGCATCACGTTTGCTTCCGTGGTGCCTGCATTGGGCCTGCATTGGGTTGCTTCGAGATCGGCGGGCTTGAAATCAAACCTGCGGCTTCCATCGATTCTTGGTTTTGAGTTTCAGGTTTTTTTTTTTTCGCCACACAGCAGAAGGCCAATCGGATCAGAAATCTGCCCACCACTTTTGTTCCTTTTTTTCCCATCCGTTTCTCACAAACCCTGAACAACGAGCCAGGTGAGCCGTGCGGTGCGCTCCATCCCCTATCTGATTTCGTGGATGGAGATCCATTCGGTTGTTGGTGTGGATTGCAAGGTCGATTGGTTCAGCAGCAAGGACATTCCGAAGCTCACCCGTGCGAACGGTCATGTACGATGTAGTGTACACACCATCACCGTCCAGGTACCCGCCAGATTTTGTAGTATACACACCCTGACTGGTTCGATAAGACAAAATAAGGCGGATGTGCTGCGAGGGTAGATCAGGAACAAGCAAAAATGAGATGAACGCCCGTCAGGAACAGGAAGTGATCACTGACAATCTTGACAGCAGACAACTCCAGTAGCCGCGGTGACGAACGACACCTTGACACCCCGTCAATTGGATACATGATGCTTTACACAAAGGCCCGTCTATCAATGGCAGACAAGAACCATTTTGGTTTCAATTCAGATAGGTATTCGGTTTCCAACTCTAGCCGTGGGCAGAAATTTGGGGAACCTGTTGCCCATATACCCTGGCTTTGGTATAATCTCCCACACATACAGCTTCAATCCCATAACCGCCGCATAAGCCGCGCTTCTGTAACTCTGATCCAAGCGCACGCAAGGCTATGGTTCAGCCATTGTTGTTTCCAAGTAAGGGTTGGTCGTGCTTCCGTATTGTCCAAAAAAAGAAAACCGTGAAATATTGAATTCGGGGTGACGTCAAGAGATTTTCGTAGTCTCGTATTGCCGAGCTGAGGTAAACCGTTGTGTAAGCGAGTTGGGTCAGCGTTGGAATCCGTTCCGTCGAAGCCAAGTGATCGATGTCGACGGGTGGAACAGCTTCGAGGTGCGCGGCGAATCGTCTGGTACAGGAGCCTCAATCAAAGACACGCAACAGCAACCCAAGATTGTTATGGAAAAAAGTACAAGAAAATTAAGGCAGGTAGATAAGCAGCGTTGGTCGTCTGTTTGTATGTGCGCATGCAAGTGTGGTTTAACATGGATAAAAAACGCGCCGGAAAACCCTCGAGAAACGCAAAATGTTCTGACAAAAGCTGCAGCATCCCTCTTCCCACTCTTTTAGTTCCCCCCTGTCCGGCCCCCAAAAGCAAACCAAGCCCGCCTACCACCCAGTTTCGGAAAAGATGAAACGCAAAAATAAACGCCGTGGTATCTCAATGCAAATGCAGAAGACAGTTGATGAAAGTGATGGGATGAGGATGAGAGGGATAATGATGTAGTCGCGAGGAAACGTTCGTGTGCGTCGTGAGTAATTATCGAAACCGTCCGCTTAATCCTCAATCCTCGGCGATTGGATCTGGGTTTACGGCTCTCAGTACCCGCGGCTGACCGACAACTCGTCTTGAGTAGTCCTGGTTGTCCTGAAATGATGCAATACTCTCGCGGCTCTTGTTTTGGCCGTTGTATAGAGCGCTGCCGTATGGATTCAAGCGTGGGTCGACTGGCATCAGCGTGCTCCTCCTCTTGGAGGCCGGTCCATCCCCCCATGCTACCAGCTCGGGTGCGAAGCGAGTTTCGGTGACTGTGGCGCCCTTTGATCCCGAAGAGCTTCCGCGTGGCGATCCGAATGAAGAACCGCTCTCGTCGTTCTGTTTCCTGCGCTTCATGAACCAGATCCAGAGCAATACGCCAATAATTCCCAGAACAGCGACGACGCCGATGGCGATTCCGACTGCTGCACCCGTGCCGATTGCCTTCTTCTTTCCATTGGCTTCCGGTTCGGCGAGCTGACCTGCGCTGGTGGCTGTTGGGGTTGGTGTGATGATCACGGTTTGTATTTTTCCGCCAACGGTAACGGTTTGGGTGCTTGGCTGCATCGGATCTGTTGTAACGGGATCATCGGTAGTATGTGTCGCCTATCCACAATGTTAGCCTTGCATGCACCCAGGAAGCTACGGTTAAATGCATGGTCTGACGAAAACGAATGCAAAAAGGTACAAAACAATCATACAGAAGTACCAAGGGTGGTGGGATAAGAAACCACAGCTGAGGAAGCCACCGAAGACTTCAGCGAGGGAGTCACAGTCACTGTTTCTCGAACAGTGCTCTGGACAGTTTTGATGGCAGCAGTCTGCTCAGTCTCAGTCTTGATGATCACCACAGCCTGGACAGCGAGATGTTTGACCAAGGGTGGGGAGTTTCATGATGTAGACTCAAGAAAAGATATCAAAACGCGCCGAGAACGGGGACGCTGAGGGCATCGTGGAAGTTGGGGGTTGAATAAGGACAAACGGGGAGGATACATACTGTAGTCGTGGGTTGAGTCGTGGGCTTCGTTGAGGATGTGGTCGTCTTGGTGGCTTGCTGGGTGGTGGTGGTGCCGGTCGACGTTGACGACGCCGGCGCCGCCGTGCTGGACGGCTTAATGCCCGTGATCTTGAGATATCCGTAGAGGGAATCGCCTCCACACCAATCTGAAGGATATCCGGGACAAGGATTTGAGCATTGTTTGGACGATACGGTGTTGGCTGAGTTCGGCACAACGTTGGTGCACCAACAGCTTTTTTGCCAGACCACAGCAAAGGCGTACTTCTCCTCGGCACTAGAACAGGTGTTGTAGCACCGACCCATGGACTGGAAGTCGCTCTCATCTGCAATGTTCTCATCTGCAATGGAGGTTAGTACAGGCTCCTTGGGAACATGGCGATGACGGAAGGTCTCTAGTTACTCACCTGCGTCCATGCCAGGGTCAGCCGTGTTGACGGTGGCGCAGTAGGCAACATCATGGGACGGGCCTACGGCCAATGCGTTTCCGCAAAGCGAGGCCACTAGGGCAAGACATGCCCACAAACGGGCAGCTCGTTGGCGTGCCATTGATGATGCAGCAAGGGCAGAGTGAAGTATCTGGTGATGATTTTGTTAGCGACCCGAGGAGTTGATGCATATTTTCTCCAGCTTTGGTGGTGTCTGATATTGCTGGGGTCTTCCTTTTGGATGAGGTCGACACAGCCAGAATCTCCACTTTGGCTTCCGCGACGGGAACATACCTCGTATTTCTTGGCTTTCCCCTCTCGGCCACCTATTGAGCGATTACAACAATAACGACAACAACAACAGCGAGTGCCCCCGAAGCCCGTGGTCCTTTTTCCAAAACACGCAAAGTTGAGAAAGACGGAATCGGAAGTTTGTCGATCTAGAAAGCCATTGCAAGCCAGCCGGGCAAGCTAAGGTACTGTAACGTAGCGAAGATGGTCCGTGTTCAGGGAAACCACGTAGTGAGACTTTTTTTTTTCTTGGGTGGTGGATGAAGAAGTGGAAGCGAGGCGGAATAGGACCAAAAAGTCGAAGCAACTTCCAGCTAAAGAGTCACTTGTCGTCGTCTTTGTCGTCGATTAGGTAGTAGCGGGAAGGGAGATGGACGTCCGAGGCAATTAGGCTTTGACGATGGCCCAGAACTGAGGTCCAGGGATGGAGAAGCAAGTACGTAGAAGGGATTAAGGGAGTTGACGGGTCGGGTCCTCTACAGGAGTTTGACGTGGTGCTTGAGCAGGAGAGAATTGGGGGAAGTCGGGCGGTGGCAGACAGAAACGACGCAGATGAGCAGCGGAAGAGGAGAGTGGGGGGGGAGAAGGTGGGAGAAGGAAGTGTTTGCGTGGAAACGAGACGAGGGACAGAGAGACAGATCGATCGTCTGCAGAGCACCAGATGGGAAGGAGTGGACGGAAAGAAACTGAATGGAGACGACAAGGCCGGATGCAGGTGGAGGGGAGGGGGCTTGCCCAAGTGGCAGCTAAGGTGTACAAGGCCCGGGCGCAGGCCACAATCACGCTACTAACCTTTTTTCGTTCATCATACTCTCAGAGCAGGCATAGGTACTATTCAACACTCATAAGTAATGAAGCACTTGCACAATTTGTGTGCCCGTCCCCCTGACCAGCATTGGTGAGGCATTGCCCCATTGTCCACCAAGGACAGCGAGAAATAAAAATCGCCATGGCAGCGAGTGCCGTGCGATGCGGTGTCGGCGGGGGATCTGGACGGGACTGGACACGACACACGACGACAGCCACGAGCGACGACGGGCAACTGGACTGACCAAGACACTTTCCCGAAGCGGAGCCCTTTTGCCCTTGAACTTTGATCCGGGGTGGAGTTGGCCGATGCCACTGGGATGAGCCTCTTTCTCGTGAGTTGTGAGTGGACAGGGATGGAGCAGATACGAGTTCACCCTGACACCGTCTGATGGCATGTCAGTATCGTGTTTACCACTTTGGCATTCAGTTTGTGAAGTCGTGTTCCTGCACCTGACCCACGAGCTGCATGCCGCGTATAAAGTTTAAATCCCCCCGCACATGACATTGAGGTGGTCGCATCTTCGTCCAACGACATAACGAAGCAAGCGACAAAAGGCGTGGTCGTTCGGAACACACGGCACTATTGGATACCTCAACTCGTACTTGAGATGGAGGAGCGGGAAGGCATGGAGATCCAGAGGTACCTACGCCTTCTGCCACCCCCGTCACAACCGAGGAACGAAATTAACAGCGCGATAAGAAATCTACGATAGGTTGGCCATTTCAAGCTTGGGAGAAATTCCAGAGCTTGGCTCACTTGGCGTCGGGTTGTTGAAGTGGCCCTTGCCAATGTCGTCACTTTTTCTCTTGGCACTCCGCTCGCTTCCCTTCGTCTCGTTTGGACATGGATCTTCCTGGCGTCGCAGGTACGTTGGAGGTGCTCGCTTCTGTTAAGGCCTTGACGGTGTGCTCCGGGATCTACAGTACCGTCTGTCGCCTCACTGCCCGAGTCTCTACCTGAAAAACGAAACTTGAAACACCCGGACTGCTTGGCTGGTCCCAGCCTTATCTGAGTAATCCACATGCAAGGTACTCGGTACATTTGGCTTCGGCGTATTTTCTGGACTGCCTCAAGCGCGCATTCCCCCTTCCTTTACGAGCCTGCCTTGACTGCAGCAGTGCTCTTCGCTTCGGCACCATGCCTTCCTTTGCCCGTCCCTGTCTTGAAGCACCGAGGCTCCTCAGCAAAAGGGAGGGGCCGCCGCACACAATTTCAAGGGCAACGACGATCACGGAGAAGTGAAAACCAAACCGAAAAGCAATTTCATTAGGCCCCGTTCATGTCCGTGTTTCGCACGCGACATGCCGACTTCACCCACCTCCCTTCCCTCCCAGGCACTTTAAGTAGCCGCTTGCAGATTTCATCCGCGCTGGCCAGGCCCATCCCTTCAGCACACGAGTCTATGATGCCGAGATCTTGGAAACCACAAAGAACCGCAGCGCTGGATACCGGAAGCTGGAGCTCGCAACGGGCGGACTTGCTCCGCTCTTCAGCTCTCAGGGTCCATTCGTCTCGTCTTCGATTATTCGCACACTCTCAAGAGTCTCCGGAAATGACTGTCCATCAGGCGGCTTGTTAGGTGATTTACTCCACTCTTCAGCTCTCACGGTTCGTCTCGTCTCCCAGTCCCGGCATCTTCAATTTGTTTTCAGATGGAGGTCTCGCGCCTTCCTGTGGCTTTCGTGGACATGTGCCCCTTCCACTTTCACGAGCTTCACCCACAAAACTTGCCCTCTGGCGCCGTAGCTATCTAGGCAAGCCACAGCAGCCAATTCACACGCGTGCTAACAGAGGCTCGTCTGTTCCACCAAAGAACAAATTACCGCTTCATAAGGATTGCCCTTTAGTAAGACTTCTGCTTCGAATCGAAAATGAGAGGGCTGCCCATGAGCCTCGCTCGATTGAGAGACTCGCGTTTCTCTTCGGCCATAATCGACATGGACAAAGCAAGGGGCCGTGATGCACATCAGTGTCACGCATCTGTTGCTTCCCACAGATGTGACTGACCCTGAAAAGTTTCAGCTTGGCCTTTCATGACTGACTGGCCTTTTGACCTTTTCGGGATCCGCACACTGCCTGATATCTACACAGGCCTAAACGCTCTGGGTGAACACGAAGCAGTGACACACTATTCGAGGTAATACGAGGGCACGCCTCTACTCAACCTGCATCACGTATGGTGTACGCTAGGACAAAGTAGTGCGGGGGTTGTATGTGCACCATGTTGAATTCTCGAACGACAATCCGGATCAATCCCACCCACCATCCATCGTGAAAGTACGGGGTAAAATGCATACTATCTTTTATACTTGCGATTCCGGGCCAGCCATGATTGTTAAACTATACTTCCTTATAACCGGTCCTACGTCCGCCGCTTCATTGATGGACTTGCAAGGGACTGCAGATTTCCAAGGCCTAGGATTGGTTTTCATTGTGACTTGTGAGAGATTTACCATTCGGCCAGCCAGTTGGGGAGTCGACACGAGACAATGCCATCCTGGCTACGCCAACATGTCCTGATGATCGACAAAAGCAGAGTTGAGAAAAGACATGGACGAGTCGCCGAGTGTTCACGCAATCGTAAAATCAGTCACCGGCATTCTTCCCTTATACTCTCTGCTGCTGGCAAGTTGTATGTTTGCCAAGTATTCTTCTGAGCCGCCGACTGGTGATGCTTGCCGGCCATAAAATTCAAGAGATGAGGACACTACACCACTGCATCTTCAGTGTCAGCCGCTCCTTGTTCGGATACGGAGATAAACGGGGCCCGTCCCGGTGCGACTTCCAATGTGCTCCGAGAGGCGGTCAATGCAACGCCCCAGAGAGCCGATAAGATCACAAGTCAGTCGTGTGGTATTACCCACAAGAATGCCTGCCTTCCTTGCGTTGGCGAGGGTACGCGTACCGGACTGTGAGTTATCATCATATTTCCCCCTTTCAAAACCCCCATTTCTGCCTCTTCTCCAGGCATAACCCGTCGCTTGGTGTCTCAAATGCATGTGTCGCCGTGACACGGCATGCACCACTGAGTGCTGTGTGGCCGTGTCCTTTCTGCGGTGAACCTACAGAACCGGAACCGGCAATCAAGACCGCTGCGTTCCGTTTCATCTTTATCTACCGAGAAAGGCGTCTGTATAAAGATGGTTGTCATTCGTTGTTTCGGACGGAGACCATGGGGATTCACGCACAAGAGACAGATACGGTTCGCTATTCCCTGACTGACCGATATGCCTTGTGCTTTATGCTTCGGTCACACAAGATGAGTGCGGGAGGCCTCGTCGCCTCGCTTTTCTTTTTCTTTTCCTTTTTCTCTTCCAAATGTCGGCGACAGTATTTGACATGTTGGACTGCCGCCTGCCGGTATTGTGCTCGTGCTGCCGTTGTTGTCATGTTACTGTCACCGACCGATCTGTGGTCATTAGTGTCTCCTTGTATGTGCAGGGGGAACCGCTTGAATGAAAGTCAGGTGCAAACTCTCAAGTACATTTACTTTTACTTCATCGATTAACGTCCGTCGTCATGTTACTATTGACTTATCATTCTCATCGACTTTCCACATTCCCCGGTAACCTCAATGGTAATCACTAAATACTCACTGAGTATCATCTCAGACACCCGGTAACAGTGACGGGTGACCAATGCCAACTGACTTAGACCTGAGCGACCTCATTTACAACAATTTCCAGGCGCTAGTTCATCCGCTATACTCTATTACAAAGGCAACGTAACTGTATGGGGTGACGGACACAAGAACAAAGTACGAAAATGACAACGAATGAACCGACTCGGCCGTTAGGCTGAAACAAGACGAGACAAAACAGAGGACGGGAAGAGAGACGATTAAACGAAACAAAACATATATGGGATAGGAATGTGTGTGCGGTGTTGTTTGATACATCTTCTTGTTATCCCTTGTTAGAAGTGGTGTTCAGCCACTCACTACCAAAGAGAGAAGTTATGCTACATTACCTGACAAGCGTTCGTTAAACTCGAACATTCGAGGAAGCAAGGTGGCTGAAACACAGATTTCAAAGGTTGAAGAAGTTCTTCCACCAACCTCGTTGGTTTTGCAGTGGCTTACCTACCTACCTACCTGGTCAGGGATATGCCGTATGAGAGCTTCTACGTTTCTTTCTCGAAAAGAGGAAAATGCCGGCTAAATCACAATGTACGAAAGGCAAAATGGCTTTTCTCATCTTTGAAAGCAAGATTGATCTTGGCAATCTACCCCATTGTATGTCTGTCTTTCTTTTGATGAATATAAAAGTTTAGCCCGGGCCAAGGTGAGAATGAAGAAGTCTTTCATTTTCACGAGAGTCCAAGAGAGAAAATAGAACAAAAAGTAGATACAAAATCTCTTCATCAAACCATAGAGATTGATGCACGTTATGCTTATCCACGTCTCCTTTCAATCCCATTACTTCCATCCGTTTCTTCATCCCTTTTTGCGCGTATATTAGTTACCTCTTTGGGTAGGTATCCAACATTCTCATCTTTACCTAGTTCTATGTTTCGAGCAGGGTTTTAGTGTAAGCCCAATCATACCCCCTACGCAGCAACAGGAGCAAGGTAAACACAATCGCTCCTAACATCCTTTCCATCCGTCCCCATCGACAAATAAAGCCCATTGCCGCACGACAGCATATTCCCCCGCCCATTCGCCGACAGCGTCAGCTGTCCCGTCCCCGCATTCACACACCCTTTCACCCGCTGCATCGTGCCCGCTGCCACGCCCGCCTCCACATCCGCCTTGAGCTTGGGCCGCACCGACACCGTCGCGCCCTTGTCGCTGACCAGCACGTAGGCGGCGTATACGGACGACTGCCCGGCGACGGGCTGAGCTAGTTCAAGGTAGCCGTTGGAGTCGAGGACCCAGGTTGAGGTCAGAGCGCCGGCATTTCCGGGAGCCGGAACGCCGGAAAAGGATTGCCAGGCGATGACGCTGCCGCCGACTGTGTTCATCCAGCGGGTGGAGCCGTCGGGGTAAGGGGTCTGGGCGCGGAAGGATAGGCCGCGGGGTTTGCAGACTAACGGCACGACGGAGACGGGCGTGGATGTGGTGGTTGCGGTCTCCACGGCGGAGATGGTGAGGGTGGTGGTGGCGGTGATCAGGTCCGTGGCGCCGATGGTTTCGGTTTCGGTGTCGGAGAGGGTTTCGGTTACGGAGATGATGTCGGTGGAGGTGGTAGAGAGGGTGGCGACGACGGTGGTGAGTGCGTCGGAGGCGGTCACGGTTACGGTCTCAACGGCGGCAACGCTGGCGGTGATGGTGGATGCCGTGACGCCGACGCACTTGCAGGCTTTGGAGTACTGGGACCAGTCGGCGCAGTCGGCGGTGGCGTAGCTGGGGAGAGGGTTGGCCTCCTCAATTTGAGTCAGCGTGTCGCGAGCCTTCAGCTTGAAGGTCTCGATGTCGATGGGGTTCTGGTAGGCCGTCGAGGTCGAGGTGACTTCGGGGAGAAGCGAGATCAAGGTCGTGGTGTAAGGAACGGTGACGGTCTCGGTGAGGAAGTCCGTCTCGGTCGCTAAAGTGACTGTGATGACCTCAGTGAGGATACGGGTCTCGGTTGAGGCGATTTCCGTCGTAGTCTCGGTGAAGAGGACGGTGTCCACGGCGCTCTGGACGAGCGTGACTGTTTCCGTGTAGGTGCTTGCTGATGGGGTCACGGTGACGAAGAGGTTGGACTTGCAGTCCATTACTCCCTCGAAGTCCGCGAGAGCAACAGCTGTGGATTGTCCATCGTCAGTTTATGAATCTAACTCTTGGAGCACATGAACATCCATTTTTAACATACCCTTCAAGCAATTGTTGTTGCGACAGCAAGCAGCAGAAGCCACCTGCAGCAGGGCAGCCCCCGAAAGAGCGACAATACCAAAGTTTTTCATGATTTGAACGAGTGACTAGACTGGAGTGAAGGAATGACTGAGGTGAATCCAACCTTGAGGTGAAGAGAGATTGAAATGGTTGTTGGGACTCGGTTCCTTTTTGTCACCACTCATGTTGCCCATTCCATTACTTTCATCATTTTACAGACTTTCAGCTCGTCGGCGGCGCCCTCTTTTGGTCGTAAGAATTGATAATTCGACCCGTTGTAGATTCAATAGCGTCGAGCGCGATGGGGAGCGGCCAATGTTTGCTCAGAGCCGAAATGGGTTCTTGCCGGCATCAGGGCAGTTCGAGCTCGACGGTCTAGACTTCTGGACTTTTCAAACCCCTGAACCCATGGTCCCAGCTGGGTTCGGTCTAACGCTTTTCTGCCTTTGCTAGCGAGACTCAATTACACAGTTTGACAGTAGTGTACATACTTACCACTCTACTCTACCCAATCCACTAAACGACAAGATGAAATGTGAAGATACGCTCGCTCGCTCGCCCACTGTCCAATCAACGTACACACTTCGTCCTCTTGGGTTATGACATCTCACTTTCTATTACATTGATGATGGACAACCGTTGTCGCTTTGATCCCTACACAGAAAAACAACAACACAAAACCCCTAACAAGATGTGAACTCCCCTTCCCTTGGTAATGCAGATAGATACGTAGGTAAAAGGATGGCCCTTACCAAGTGCCTCGGTAAACCACCCATATCACCCCGTAACCCAGCCAATCCATGGAAACCCAAAAGATCAATCCCAGCTGACCAAACGGGGAACCATCTTGCAATTCGTCGTACACATTAACCATAAGAGAACCGACTGGTAATTACCTAGCTCCCAGTCTGTCTCCTCGCTAGCCCCGGCCGTCCGCTGACACTGCCATTACGACTACCAATATTTTCATTCACCGCCGACGGCGCCGGACTCGACGACCGGCTCCCTGCTGAACCAACACTCTCAAACTTTTCCACCAAGTCTAACACCCTCGTTCTCGTCCTCTTGGGTAGCGCACCCGGGCCAGGAGAGGGAGACGGACGCGGCGGTGGAGGTTGCATTGCCTGCGACTGCGAATGAAGCAACTCCAAACCGAGTGACGACGACTCGTGTGGTTGTTCTTGTTCTTGTTGTTGTTGTTGCTGCAGCTCAGCCAACGCCTCAGCAGAAGTCCGCACCTCCGACACCGAAGGCAGCGCGACCTTCTCCATCTTGACCGCCTCGGCTACGTGTAGCGTCGCGGTGCCAGTGTCGGATACACCGCTTGCTACGCTCCGGAGGGAGTGCACGCTGTAGGTTGAGCGGATGGAGGGGACGTAGGATCTGCGGTGGGTGTGACCACGGTCGTAGGTTTTCTCGGGGGAGGGCGAGGGTAAAGGGGTGATTTGAGTGTGGTTTTCTCCTGATGGTGTTAAGCCGGATCCCTCAGACGAGGGTGTTGTGGGGTTGAGTCCCAGTGTGCTTGGTTGACTGCGGATGGCGGTGCGGGTTTTGGTTGGAGAAGGAGGTTGGAGGAATGAGAAGTCTGGCGACTGCTGCTGAGGCTGTCGTTGAGTAAAATCTGGCAGTTGGGGGGAAAGTGATGGCGAGGTAGGATGCGAGAGGGAAAGGATGAGTGGAGATGGAAGGGCTAAATCCAGCAGAGGAAACGGCGAGGGGGTCCGTTTGCGCGTAGGGCTCCCATTTGAGTCAAGATAGATCTGAGGATGGTCCTGACCGGGGACTTCTGACGCAGGCGTTCGCGTCGGGTTGGTTTCAGAGTCGGAGTTTGTATCATTTCCCGGTCCTCGAATCGGCAGGTTTGTCTCCGACTGAAGCTCGTGCTCTGACTGCTGCTGGCTACCGCCGGATATCTTCCTCGTACTCTCGCCGGCAATGATTTCGATGGTATCCGGTGTCTGTCTTCCAGCCCGTTCCTTCCCCTTCCCCTTATCAACATTGATGGGGGTTCCGCTTCTACTACTTCTGCTGCCCCCCTCATTGACATCACACAAAATGATAGACTCCTCCCGCTCAATCTCCGCGTTAACCACCCTCAGGCGCTCTTTGGGCACAGTGAACATCACCTGCACCAACCGTTGCTCGACCGCCTTCTCCACATCCCACTCATCTCCCTGGCCTCCATCTCCCGCGGTGTCATTATGCTCCCCTCCAGCGGCTTGACCAGCCGATGACTTCTCTCCATTAATATCCCAGGCCTCACGGCCCTGCTTCCTCCTCACCAGCCCCAAGCCCAAGGCGCCGGGATTGAAACCGATCAGAGAGAGGTGAGGGTGATCAAAACCACTAGCTTCGTTACTATGCAACAAGCTCTCCTTGGTCGGACTATCATCGCCACCGGAGCTGCCTGACCCGCCCGACCCTCCGTTGACGCTGAGCATCCGCTTAAGGCTGCCCAGCCAGCTGCGCGGACGGGAGTCGAGACGGGAGTTTCGACGAGTTTTGGATGGCGAACTAGGGATTGGTTCCCAATCCTCTTCGGATTCTTCACGTTCTCCGCCTTCTTCCGCACTCGGCTGCTCGTTGTCGCCTGACCCGGACATAGGAAACAAAAGATCAGCGCCTTCGGCCTGTAGGGAGTTGAAGTTGGGAGTTGGCGTGGGAAGATTGGATTTAGCGGATGCGAAGGCTGTCGAACCGGAGTGGGATCCACTAGAAGCGGAGGGGGCTACGAGGGAGTGGTTGCTGCCGCTGTTGCCAGACTCGCCGCTGCCGGAACTTCTTGGTTTGGGAATATCTCCAGCTGCGGCCGCTACATGCTGATGATGGGCAGGGGAGAGTGGGGGCGCCTGTTGATGCTCTCCGCCTGAAATGAAACTGAATGCGCTGCGGTCGGAAAGGTTGCTTCCCGTGCGATGGTCGCTGCCTGCGCGGGCGTCGTCCGAAATATCCATCATGCTCTTACTCAATGGGTTGGATGCCCTAGACTTGGTAGACTTGTTGGATGCTCGGCGGGCAGGTAATGTTACCACACGCGTTGTTGTACTAGTAGGTGATAGGGGCTGGTGCGTGGCAGCCTCGAGCGAAGCAGCGGTAGCTGCCCGGTGAGTGGTAGTCACGGATCCATGCCGGCTGATTTTGGCGGCCAGAACGGCGTCCGCCACGTCCACATCAGTCTTCCAGCCCCGGACTTCCGGGTCTTGAGATTGCCCCTGCTTTGGAGAGAAGGATATGACCTCAGGCGGTGGTAAGCCGGGGCTTGACTTTTCGTCGTTCAAACTCCCTCCGCTTCCACTCTCACTGGTAGTTGGCGCATATGGCGTGCTGGCCACAGCTCCAGCCCGTAGGATGCTTCCGGCTGGGGTAATGAATGGATCGTCGTCATATTCGGGGCTGATCAGCCGCCCGGACGTCCCTAGAGCTCTTCCGTCTTTCTCGTTGTATTCGTCGTCTTCTTCTGCTTCCTCGTAGATAGGGTGGATCCCATTAGGATTCACGTCCTCTCTTCCAGGCAGCGGCGCAAAATCCATACCATGAGTAGGGATATAGAGGCCCCTCGCGTTGCGTAACCTGCCGACTCCGGACCCGGTGCTATTAGCAGCCGGCGGGCCGGATGGCTGGTAAAGACCTGGTTGACCAACAACTTGATACCCACCACTCAGATACCGGGTGCCCTGCCCGTTCGAGTCGCTGTTTGTGTTCCAGGGGAACTGGAAGCCGAATCCGCTGCTTCCCTGCTCGGCCAGATCATTGTCGTAACTGGTGTAACTGGATGGATTCTCGCCCCAGTCATGAATGTTATGCCTGATGGTACCCCCAAAACCTGTGCCGTAGATACTAGGGGTCATGCCCTTGGACAAGCTGCGAAGAGCTCGGTCGCGCTGAGCCCGGCGGCGTTGTCGTCGGCGCCATAGGAAGAAAAGCACGGCGAAGATGATAGCCACGAGTGGAACCCCGAGACCGAGAGCCAATCCAAGTGTAAGACCGAGATTATGGCCGACCTTGTTAGAAGCAGGTGGATCGCTTGTGGTAGGAGGGATATCGACGGTTGGATTGCCATTCGAATTAAGTCGCGGGTTTGTATAGGCTGTCGACCAGGACTGAGACGTTATGTTGAAGAATCTCGGAGTGTTCGTGACAGCAGTCGACTCTCGTTTCTCGAGGTTGCTGCCATCGGTGATACCTATCAAGGACTTGAGCCATCTCTTGGCCTTTGCCTTGGAAGAAGCTGCCTTTGGTGGATTGATTGCCCACCCTCCGTAGACCATCATTACGTTCCCTGGCAGGACCACAGCACCGTGACCATAGAGTCCCTCTCCTTCTCCGAATATCTGTGTCCGATCGTTCTGGGGAATCTCCCACCGCCAATCATCATAACTTGCCCCGATCTTGATTACCACAAGCTGTGGCTCCGCCGGTTGAGACACATCGCCTACCCAGCCTCCTAGAATGACCAAGCTGTCTCCATTCTCACTCAACACGGTCGTGTGCCCTGATCTGCTATCCACAGTCGTTACTGACGGCCCGGCTGTTTCTTCTGTAGGTGGACTAATCGACACGTAGCTCCATGTCTCTTCCGGCAGACTCCAGATAGCCGCGGTACTCATGTTGACAAAGGCATGCTGCGTGTGGCCGCCCAGCAGCACATGAGAGGTCTGCTGGGTAACGATGCCGGATCGGTTCGTGATACTTGGCGTCAAGGCGGTGAAAGTGAAGCCTGCTTCCGGGATAGGAGGGCCGCCAAGTTGGGGGTTGGAGATTGTGAAGCTGGTTCCATTGCTGTTATTTTCTGGTTCTATAACGTCACTCATGCCGTCGCCTCCGGGAGGTGTATTGTTTGAAGGCTTCGCTACAGAGGAGTCTGAAGAACGAGAAGAGATCTTGAGCATACGATTCGAGTAGTGCGCTGATGCCTGCCATGTCGACGCTGTGGAGTTGGAAAAGGGGCACATGCCGCCGTAGATGTAGATGACGGGATCAGAAAGGGTGGGGTAGATCTGTGATGAGAAGGAGAGCGAAGAGCCGAGGAGGCAAGGGATTCCTGTTCCTATCCCTATACTGCTCTTGGGGTTCTGCTGGGTACTGTACTTTGTCCAGTCGCCTTTTGCGTCACCGTCTTCCTCGAAGGAGGGAGTGTAACTCCACACCGCGGGAGTGGCATCCTCGTCTTCATAACCTGACGCACGTCCAGCGGCACAGTCACCTGCCAACACTGCCAAAGTGCCATTCTCCAATAACGTTGGCGCAAACCCGCCCGTCTTCGACTTGGTAACGAAGGGTAGGCCAGAGGTTAGTGTTGTCGGTTTGAAGGAATCGGCATCCAGAGTCGAAGAGGTGTTGACGGCGAGCAAGTCAACGCCGTTGTTGTCCACATTAGGGGTGAAGATGTATGCGAGTCCATGATCGGCCGAGTTAGTGGAGAGAAGCGACTGAGATCCGGAAAGCAAAATGGTAGTGGGCGTGTAGGGAAGAGTGATGGCGGC